TCCAGCTCCCGCAGCTGAGGTCGGGAGCTGTCTGCGAAGTGATTTTTTTTTATTACTTTATTTTTTTAATCCCCGAGGCAGATGGCTGGCGTGGGAGCACCGCCCGTCTCCGCTCTCCGGATCTGTGCCTGGCTGCTCTCTAGCTTCTTGGGGCTCGGGATCGTCGTGCTGTGATGTGTGCCGGGGAGGACTCGGTAAGGGTGAGAGCGAACCCCTTGGCGGCTCCCTGCCTTCAGTTTCATCACCCACCGTCTTCCCTTCTCTCTTTCTTCTCTGTCTCTCTCTTCCCCTCCTGCTCTCCCTCTCCCCCGACCCCATGATTGTGTTCAGGTTTGATGAACTGCCTCAAAACTAGGCGTTAGGGCTGTCGAACTGTTTTTTGTGTTTTTGTTTTTGTTTTGTGTGTGTGTGTGTTTTTAAAAAGAAAAAACACACCATTTTCAGTCCCTTGATTTAGAAAGAGGAATTATTTTATCTTTTCTGAATGCTGGGTTTTGTGGAAAGGCAAATTATGCTTGCGCGCCCCCCACACACTTACACACCTACCTTTGTCATCTCATTTTGAAATGCAGGCGTTTAAGGCAATGTTGGCTCAGCCTCAGAGGTAATGAAGAGGATGGGGGTTGAAAAACCCCGGGTCGATTCCTTAAGGGGGAAAACGGTGTTTGTTTTGGAGCTTGCCCAGAAGTAGTTTTCAAGGGAGAGCTGCAGAAAAAAGTTGGTGCTCTTCCCAGCCAGCACTAACTTTGCAGAACTTAATAGTTGTTTGGGGCATCCTTCGTTTGACATTCTAAAACACATAGTCACACTGGACTGTGCGCAGCAGTGAGACAGCTGGCTGGTTAGTGACACACTCCGGTGTGGAGGGCTAACCTCCCTGTGCCTTTAGAAAGGATGCATTCAAACTAGTCTTACTCATAAGGGCATGTTAACACAGGCATTTGGAAAGTTACCTAAATAAGAGCTAAGTTTCTTCTTGCTTCTTTTCACCCAGTTCTTTGCAAGGAGAAAAAACAACCCTATAGTCTGAGAGCAAGCCTTTGACTAAAATCAACCTTGAAAGATGGACCCACAAGGATTGGCTCCTTATCCACCAACACGTATTATATTCTGTATCCGAAAAGTAACTCCAGAGTGGATAATTATTTTTAAGTTGGGCTAGATCACATTTCTGTGAAGATAACATCATTTAAACAAAATCTTTGCCCTAGCCAGTTTGGCTGAGTGGATAGAGTGTTGGCCTACAGACTGAAGGGTCCCAAGTTCGATTTCTGTCAAGGGCACATGCCCGGGTTGTGGGCTTGGTCCCCAATGGGGAGCTTGCAGGAGGCAGCCGATTCAATGATTCTCTCACATCATTGATGTTTCCATCTCTCTCTCCCTCTCCCTTCTCTGAAATCAATAAAAATATATTTAAAAAAATCTTTGTTGGCTTAATATATATATATATATATATATGTATATATATTACATATAAATTTTTTATTTCAGAGAGGATGGGAGAGGGAGAGAGAGAAACATCAGTGATGTGAGAGAATCATTGATCAGCTGCCTCCTGCATGCCCCCCACTGGGGATTGAGCCAACAACCCCAGCATGTAACCTGTCAGGGAATCCATCTGTGACCTCCTGGTTCAAGGTTTGATGCTTAACCACTGAGCCCCTCTGGCCGGCCCTTTGTTGGCTTTTTAAGAGCAAACATGTAACACATAATCATTGCAACAGATTAAACTCACTCACTGCCCCAGATGAACTCCCACAACAATCTACTGTAAAAAGTAATGTCTTATCTTTCTGGGCTCTTTCCTATTCTCATTACAAATACATATTACATACCTGCATGAGGATAGTTTGTTTTTATCAAAATGAGATCATACTGTGAAAGAATTTCAATCTAAAGTGAAGTAGAGGATATAGAGCGGACAGTCTCAGGCATGTGCCCCCAGAAAAACAAAACTAAAGGACTGATAGATGACTTTCTATAAATGCCTGGTTTACAGGAAACTGATCATGTGGCATTTTCTTAAATATTCGGGTGTTAATCAGGTAGCCTTATATCAGCCTTGACAGTTCTCACAAACCATAGGCTTATAAACCCCTGTTTCCAGAAATGTGAACAAGACCAACCCAGGCCAAGCTGGTCTCACCAAATTGGTCTAAATTGAGCTTTATTTGTGTGACTGGATTGGTTTTGTCTGCTTGAGGGATTTTCAAAGCTGGTCTCTGTTTGATTTCATTTTAACAGACTCTAAACTCTCCCCACTTCCTGTTCCCTGCCCATAAAGCAGCCTACCCCAAACCCTCCGTGGATTTGCCTGTAGCTTGCCACAGTATGTATGTTCCAAATTGTAATTTTTCCGCTATTCCTCATTGAACTCACCTCTCTTTCTTTTTTCTTTCTTTCTTTTTTTTTTTTTTTGACGATTTTGAGCTGGCTTCTTTATTTGGGTCAACACTGTAGTGGTTTCCCCCACTACTTGAAAGTAGAGCATTCCTATGAAAACTTATCATAAACCAAAATGGCATAAAGCGAAGAAGCAGTTGACAATAATTTATAGGGGAAAAATTTGAGTGTTCCCAGACTCAAAAAAAAAAAAAAAAAAAACCCTACCAACTCATACCAAATACTCTTAATTATGTTCAGTTTTACACTCAACGTAACTCCCTTATGAGCATTCAGACTTTTCCGATACCTTAGGACACATATTGCTAATAGATGTGCAAAATAAACCGAGATATAGCACAGGTGTTCACAAACACAATTCATAGCTCTGGCAGCTTGATGCTGAGATGCCGAATGTAGTTGCCTGGGAAGGGGTTTGGCCGGGGCCACTCTCGCTGCAGGGCATGCTGCTGCCTCTATAATGATTGCTGCCAACACATGCTGAACACTATTTTCACTTTCTGCCTTTTTTCGTAAAAACGAAAATCTTCTTCGGATTTCTTTTGGTTAGTGAAAGCAGGTACTAATGTGGGTCTTTTGTAAAAATGAGTTGTGGGATGCAAATTTTAAAAAGCCCAGGATACCTGCATGTAATGGAAAGCAACAACATTCAAAAGTTTTAGGGAGTTTAAAAAAAATAATATTGCAACTGCTACTTTAACATTTGTTAAATTGTATGAAAAGGATGGGGAATCGAGGCAGTCTAAAACAGGATGGATGTCAAGAATGTTTGACCTTTGCACAGCAAGAACTGAATACTTTTGAATGCAATTACTTAGTAACTAAATAGAAATTGACTAGGTTATCACTTATTTTGATGCCAGTAAAATGAAGGAAATGCTCAGAATTTGATGACAATTTATAATAGAACAGAGATGACTCCTTGTTAGACAAATGTACTTTTAAGAATCAATTTTAAAAATTAAGAGGTAAAAAGTGAGCACATATTTAAGTCTTCATTAGATGTCTTATTGTCTGATCTAGTTGGAAGTATTTTTTTTAATGAAGGAAAATCAAAGCGCTACAAGCAAGATCACTTAGGGATTCTTAAAACTCAAAGCATTGGTGAAGATAAATTTAATAGCTTGTCAATGCTTAAAACAAGGAGACTTGATTTATCAAGTCTTGGAACAATTATGTGTGTGGTGGATGCTCTCATCATTCCTGGTCAATAGTTACAGCAGCTGAGCAGCTTTCTTTACACTTAGAAGAGGCTTGTTGTGAGCGTACTCTCTTGAAAACTCTGTTCCCTTCCTGTTATCTTCAATGAGTGTATTTAATTTCAGAAATTGTCTTAATCATAGAAACAACACTTGTCACAAAACCAGTATCGCTATCGGAGTAAGAAGTGGTCCTAGTTTCATAAGAATTGTACCCTTAATGGAATCTTCTTTTATGATGCTCAGTGAAGAGTGTATTCATTCAGTTATTTGAGGTAATAATATGGAACTCTGCACTAAAACTCATAATCCTTGATATAGGAATATATCCTAAGGAAGCCATCTGAATTCCATATGAAGATTTATATATATGTTTATTACAGTGTTATCTGTGATATGGAAAAATATTTAAAATAAAATTAATTCCACAATAGCAAGCTTTTAAAATAATTTAATGCACTACTAGTATATCTCTATATTGATAAAATTTAGTTTCCAAAATATTTTTTAAATTTTTGTGATTTAGAAAGGTTTTTGCAATGTATTAAGTGAAAAAAGTAAGATTTAATACTATATAATCCTGAATGTATAGAATATAATTTTGAAATATAAATACATATAAAATAGCATTTGCTCAATAAATATTTTTTAAGCTCGTACTACATATCAGGCATTGTCCTACATTAATAAATGTTGAACAACACTGTTGCACTTCCAATTTGCATATAAGTTCCTGTTTCTATCAACGGACAGATATATCATGTACAAAAAATTTGGATTTCTAGGTAGTAAAGTTATAGCTTTTTATTTTTCAATCTTTTTCTGATATGTCCAGATCTTCTACAGCAACTATTATTTTTATAATCACAAAAATGCCATTTTGAAAAATATCACCAAGAATACTCTAACTAAAATTAAAAGACCAACTCTAAGCTCTGTATTTTATACACCAGTATGCCTTTTACAAAAGATATTAAAAGCAGTGAGAGATTGATAACACCCCTATGGAAAATGATCCCTAGTGAAAAACAGACTTATATGGGCATTTCACAAAGGAAAGACAATTTTGACTTTTCTAAGGTTTCGGGAAGAGAGATGTTCATTTCCCAATAATTGGAGAATATTCAGCATAAAAATATGTTACCCTATTTTCACACATCACATTAACAAACATGGAAAGCAATTCCAAATGTGTGAGGTTGTTGGGAAGACTAATAACATGGAAAAAATGTTCATGATATGAGGAATGAAAACACTAAGTTACAAATGATGTCCTATCTCTGAAAAATATTCCCATGATTGCCCAGCTGGTATGTCAGTTGATTGAGTGTCGACCTATGAACCAACCAGGAGGGCATGCATGGTCCCATTCCCCTTCAGGGCGCATGCCTGGGTTGCAGGCTTGATCTCCAGTAGGTGGCGTGCAGGAGGCAGCTGTTTGATGTTTCTCTCTCATTGATCTTTCTTTCCCTCTCCCTTCCTCTCTATAATCAATAAAAACATAATGTTAATAGTACTTATTAACATTGGTGGTGGGATTATATATGATTTCTATTTTCTCATGATATTAATCTGTAGTTTCTAAAATGTCT